CCATGAGGAAAGCGAGGGGACTTAAGAATTTGGAGATTATGAGAGAGGGGGCCGATATGAAACAGCAGCTGTTTGGCCCCCTTCGCCGTGAATAGGACAATTCTTTTTTCTACTCCGTCTCCCCCCTTTCCTTTCAAATCCCACCAGGACTCGTTATCCCTCGCTTTCTGTGTCTCCAACACCATCCGCACCTCCGTTAATGAGTCGCAGTAAAGTCCCCACAACAGCTGGCACAGAAACAAGTTCACTTGAAAGAGGGAATAAATAACACTCTGGCCCGATCGCCGCTGCCACGCTCAATTGTCTTTATGCTGCGACTTTGCTTTTGAAATCAGAGAATGCGTGCTCTGGAATATTAGAGGTAATGTACACCACTGTTAACCCCCATCCTGCGAGGGAGAGCAAGCGGCTCTGCCCAAAACAAGGGCTTCAATTGATACAAAGCATTCAGGAAAGAGGAAGCACCTACTCTGTAATTATAACTGTTTGGCAAATCTGCAGATAACAAACCATTAGGGAAGGGAAACAATGATTGGGTCTGTGGCCACTGGGATGCTTTGTGATACAACTGTCTGGATAATTTGATTGCATTTTCTTTGCGTTATTTGATCAAATTAACTTGTATTTTACCATGTAATTTTTATAACTTTTTAATCTTATTTCTCAGTAGGGCTGCACAATATATCATTTTAGCATCGATATTGCAATGTAGTCATTCACAATAGTCATATCGCAGGATCTGCATAAGAAATTATACTTTTTGTAAGTTTAATAGCAATAATTTTATTGAATTATTCATATATCACAGCAAGATGGTCGCTGGTTTGAGCCTCGGTTGGTCAGTTGGTATTTTTATGTGGAGTTTGCATGTTCTCCCCGTGTGGGTTTTCTCAGAGTTCTCCGGTTTCCCACATAGTCCAAAGACGTGGAATAGGTGAATTGGGTAAGCTGCAGTCTATGTGTGTGAATGAGTGTATGTGGATGTTTCCGAGTGATGGGTTGCAGCACAATGGGCGTCCGCTGCATAAAAATTGTGCTGGATGAGTTGGCGGTTCATTCCGCTGTGGCAACCTAGGATTAATGGAGGGACTGAGCCAAAAAAAAAAAAAATAATGAATGAATGAGCGCTGTTGAGAGCATTGTTAAACACCGCTGATTTGCCATTGTGTTCACATGCTCAACAGAAATTACTTGGCCATGAAGATCATTAGTTCACTGAACTCACCGCGTGTAACCACAGATACTCAAACACTTATAGTTTTATAGCCACGAAGATGAGCTGGTCTGTTTATGAGCTGACATACGAGCGTTTTGCTAGTGCTAGTGCTCGCTGCTTTAAAACGCTCCAGTGTCCCAGTATCTGTGATCACACTCAGTGAGTTTGGTGAACTATTGACCTTTACAGACAATCACAGTCATTTCTGTTGAGTACGTGAACAAAATGGCAAATCAGCAGTGTTTAAGAACGTGCTCAACAACGCTCAAATGTTTGCGGGAAATGGACATTTCAAAAACTTAAGCACCGATTGGTACCAAATTCCAGTATCGTAATAACACTAATCTGTGATACATAACACTTCTGAGGAGTTTTTACATGAATGCAACTTTTAAAATAACAGCTTTAATTTAAAATAAAATCTTTCATTCAGTTTAATACAGTCTTGAACAAAAAAAAGTGTTTTAAATAATATGCCAAAATGAATGCTGAATGACATATTGTGGTTTCAAAAAAAGTTTTTAGGATTACTAATAATCAAAAATGATTCATGAGCAGTGATTCAGCATATCAGATCTAATCAGAATCAAGCATTTAATACTGTTGACAGGGTTTTCTTAAAGTGTCTAATACTGAAACTGGATGGATGTTTAATAATCTCTCCAGTGTTATTGCCTCTGGCAGTATTTCAACATCCAAATACAAATCTCTCACCTGATCAGACACATGATGTACATGGTTGTGTAATATTGCTATAATCTGCACCTTGCGTGTGTCTCAGCTTGTCTCTTGTCTGATAAAGTTCGCACTTGAAACAAAAAACCAGATAGCACAGCTTCCATGTGAAAGTAAATAAATGGTTGGATATGTGGCTGCAAGAAGTGAAAGAGCCATATTGAGAAAGGAAGTGGTGTGTGTGTGTGAGTGTGTTTGCTCACGGGGTGTTGGTGGATTGTGAATGAGAGTCTGGACAGCGGAAGGACATGAGCTGGTCAAGCTGGAATGTTTCTAGACATCGAGTCTGAGGACACCTTTATTGTTTTTCGTCCAGTTTAAATGTCCTATGGAAGTTGATTCATATTTGCAGTTCAATATTTTTTTTTAGTTATTTATTTATTTAAATTATAGAACGTGGCTATTAATCAGCAATTGTCATTTATTTATTTAGTTAGATGTTTAATTAGTTAGTTATACAAAAAATGTAATTCTTTTATCGAAAAGTCTTTCTCAAAATGTCTTGTTATCAACTGACTTCAAGTTTATTTTTAGGTAAAACTTTATTATGATGGCCCATTTGAGTATTGGTAGACTTGTAGATACTGCTCCTTCATCAGACATTTAACTGACTATAAGCAACTTTGCAAGTACATGTCAACTTACACTAACTAACCCTAACCCCAACCTAAGAGTCTACTTAAAATCTAATGAAAATTAGTTGGCATGTAGATGCAATGTAACTTAATTCAACAAATGAACCATCAAAATAAAGTGTGACCAATTTAAAAAAAAAATACATCATACATAATTTTCCCTCAAGTTCACAGAAGCTGACACATGTCCACGTTGTTTGATCATCAAATCATATCTTAATCTTTGAAAGAATAGTTCACCCAAAACAAAGAAATAATTACTTATTATTTACTCATGCCAGGCCCCTTTCGTATATAAGATTTTGGACTTTTCACCATCTAATGCTAACCCAAAATTTATATTTAGGCCACATTTACAAATTCAAAACATTAATAAATTTTTTTTTTTGTTTTGTTTATTTTTTATTATGTATTTTTATAGCATTTTTCACAGTATTTTCTATAAGATTTTTTTCTGGAGATAGTTTTATTGGTTTTATTTCGGCTACAAAAAAAAATATTTAAAACCAAGGTCAATAATATTAGCCATCTTAAGCAATATTTTTTTTCGATTGTCAACAGATTAAACTATAAATAATACCAATGATAAATACATTATGAACATAATAATAAGAAAAATAACAGACAATTTTTAAATATTTTTCAACAAGATGTGCATTTAAGTAAAAAAAGAAAATAAATATTTTAGTGGAATATTAAATAATTATCATGTGGATTATTTTGAAGAATGAAAGTCAGACACATTTCTGATGGGCTGAGTGGTGAGTAAATTGATATATATATATATATACATATGTTTATACAGAGTGTCCGTGGGATCTTAAAAAGTCTTAAATCTACTGAAATGTTGTGTTGTAGTTCTTAAATCTTTTTAAACAGGTCCTTATTTTCCTTTGTTTATGTATAACTACACAATCTGGCCATTAACACCCATACGATCGTTATCAGTCCATCTCAAAAAAACTTTTACCTTTTATGTAAAAATAGCATTTAATTGTTTTCCTTACAGTAACATTTCCTTAAAGGTTCTCCATTTATTTACTGCTGAGGATACCTGAGGAGTCAGGAGACCTGACTTATATTTTTATTATTAGATTATTATGAAAGTAGACTGAAGTAATTGGCAGCTATGTTTTGTTCTATTCTTGGTAAGGGTTTAAGGGTTTGTAAATGGGTATATTTAAAAATGAAAACAAAAATATTCCAAAAAATTATTATTATTGTATTATTAAAAACTTTAATATTTTTTTGATAAGGCAAGTGCAAATCTTTTCAACTGGAATATTCGGAAATAAATATTTAGCCTTGTGTAAGTCTAAAAATGTGTTCATAATGGTCTTAAAAATGTCTTAAAAGTCTAAAAATTTAACTTGGTGAAACCTGCAGAAATCCTGATATTCATGTACAGGATATGTAACATACAAATATTGTTGTATGTAATGTTTATAGTACATTCATTTGTAAATATCACTGTAGTTTTTCTATAAATTTATTTTATAACTCATTCCTGCGCTTGCTGCTATTGCACTCCTGGTTAGACTTAAACTGCATTTTGTTGCCTTGTACTTGTACATGTGTAACGCCAATAAAGTTGAATCTAATCTTATCTAATCTACTTTTGACATTTGTGCCAAATTTAAAATACTTTTTTTTTATTATTAATTAACAAAAAAATGCAATGCCTACATACATGTTTATATTCAGATTTAAACAAAACAAACCCCCAAATTTAGAAGAGTAAAGAAACAATAAAAATGGGGTGGAATAACCTTGATTATCAATTACAGCAAATAAAAGCCTTTTATATCCCAAAAAGCTTGAAATGGCAGTTTTTTTTTGTGCTAGAAATTTATAAGAAATTTTACACCTTTATAAAATTAACACATATAATACAATTTTAATCAATTCCAAAACCTAAATCTAGTAAAAAGGCATTTTATAGTATTATTTGTACATGATATATAATATGGACCATGCATGGTAGACAACAGCATTGTTTTCTTTTGTACTAAAGCCTTTGTGAGATGCTGCGTTCATGCCGCGTGCAGCTTTTCTATTGGTTTTTGTGGTGTTTTCTCTGCTGGAGTGTTGAGAGCACAGGAACCGTGCTGGAATGCAGGGCGACTGGTCCTGTTTTTGGAGAATCAGAGGGGGATGGTTGCTTCACTTAGGATGAGTAGGAGTGTGCTTAGTCTTGCTCTGTCAACTTTGTGCACTCTTGCACAGAGCCTCGAAAAAAAAAAGTTGTCGAGAGAAAAAAAAAAACATCTTCAAAGGGGGTTAATTTACTGTGTTCATACATAGACGATCACTTGACATATGCGCTGTGAGCAGTTTAATTGCACCGCTTCCTCTCATCCTCATCCAACTCATCGTCATATGTGTGTGTGTGTGTGTGTGTTTTCCCAATGCAGAATGTCAGCCAGGCTTCTTCAAACCATCGGTGTCCAGTGAGGCCTGTAAACCCTGCCCAAAAAACACGGAGCCCTCAGGCCCTGGTGCCACACGCTGCTCCTGTAATGATGGCTTTTATCGAGCACCCGAGGACCCAGAAACGTCTGCATGCTTTGGTGAGAAGATTCATAAGGAGGAATTTGATGTCTTGATATGATCACTGTGTAAATATATCTGCAGCTGGTTTCAGAGCCAAGCGTGATCTTTTATACACGATCATGATACGGTTGTTGGCAGTCTCAATGCGTGTAAATGAGCAAACACTGCATACACCTTTAAACTTCCAGGAACAGGCAGAGATCATTCGAAGAACTTGTAGTTGTAAATTATACTATTGCAGTGTTATATATTTAAAATGACTTTATTTGCTCGAGTTTAAGAAATTAATTGAATATTATTATATTTTAATAACTCATTTAAGTGAAGTTTATTTATAAACTAATTTCGAGAGGAGCATGTGCTTATATTTGATAATGGCTGGACACACATTAGCTAATACATGATTCTCCAATCAGATGATTCCTAAGTCACTATAAATACCCATAGTCTTCATACCACATTCATCTTCGTTTTGAAGAATCCCCATCCTCCCCTATTCCTCCTCCTTTTTTTCCTATATTGGGTGGCCCGGCGGTCCAGTGGTTAACACTGTTACTTCACAGCATAATCGTTGCTGGTTCCGGTCCTTGCTGGGCTGGTTGGCGTTGTTGTGCGGAGTTTGCATGTTCTTCCCATGTTCGCCTGGGTTTCCTCTGGTTCCCCGGATTCCTCCCACCGTCCAAAGATATGCGTCACCAGTTAACTGAATAAACCAAATTGGCACTATAGTCAAGTTCCTTGCCAACAGTATTTTTTCTCATGAAGCAAATTGTTATTAGCCACAAATAAGCAGGGACGTTCTTGAGATCTACCTGAGCTTAATCTCCCCTCTCGCCCTGCAATTGGGAGGAAGCCCAGGGCTCAAGGATCTTTTAAACTCAGGGCTCTCTTCTGGGACATCATGCCAAACAAGCTTATAATCAATCATCAGCTCTTCAAGTGTGAACTCTTGAAATTTCACAGTTTGAGGTGGTTTTTGTAAGGAGTAAAAACAATTATAATAATTATTGGAAATATTATTATTATTATTAAAAAAAATAGTGATTCATCAAAATAAATCATTTTGCCAACGTTATTTTCCGTTATTAATGTCATTTTTAATTTAAAAAGAAAATTTAAATAGTAAAGTTTTAAAGTGCAAAATTCTGTTAACTGAAATTAAAATAGAAAAAAAATAATTCACACAAACAAACTAAAAATGCAAGAGATTGTGTGAATTAATTAGCAATAGGTATTTGTTTTCTAAGCAACTTTTTGAAATTAAAGAAAAAACAACAATTGCTGTCAGTGAGCAGGTTTCCATTCTAACATGAAGTAAACCTTTTTAAAAAATGTGAATTAGGTGTGTTTCCATTTAATTGTTTGAGTGGCTGACTGTAGTATTGGTAACCTTGTAACCAACAGTAAACAAGGCAAGCATAAGGGGCCGATCACACTAAAGGCTTTTGTTGGCAACCAGATTTTAAGTTTGCTAAGACTTAAAAAATCTTGAGTTTCATGATGTTATTAAATATTAGAGTTATTTCAATATCAAGAGCAACACTTGCAGCCGATTCAGTCGGTGCCTAGCAACATAAAAAAGCGTACTGCACTACTTTTTTCTTGTCAGCAAATAGCCTTGCGTTTTTAGAAAGGATAAGTGCATTCAGTGTGATCAGCCCCTAATAGAGCCAGCTAATTGGTCATGTGAGTATCATGTTCACTACATCAGAGTTTTTTTAAGCAAATGCTTTTCAATTTCGCATTAGTCCCATTGTTTATACCAAAAGCACCTCAAGCAAGCTCAAAAATTATTGTTTTATTTTAATTTTTTTGCAAATTCAACAACATTTTCATCACTCGTTTCTTGTATAGTTCTTCAAAAAGTCTAAATGCAACCCAATGGTGCATCCATTTCTGCCATTAGCTAACTCCAGTCATGTTAAGCTCTTCTCTCTCTGACACTCTTCTGACACTCTATTCTTTTAAGTTTTAACTAGACCAAGTAAATGACAGTCTGGTGTGTTGTTTGTGGTTTTAGGGTTGCCGTCCGCTCCTCAGAGTCTGCTGTCGTCCACGGCTCAGATGTCCTTTGGCAGGCTTCAGCTGTCCTGGAAGCCTCCCGCAGATAATGGCGGACGCTCTGATATCACCTACTCTGTGGTCTGCGAACGCTGTGAGGGAAAGACATGCCAGTCTTGTGGTGAAAAAGTGCGATTCGAACCCAGCAACACTGAACTAAAGGAGACCAAAGTGACTGTGAGTGAACTGGAGCCCCATCTGAACTACACCTTCAGCGTTGAGGCTCGCAGCGGAGTGTCTCAGTTCAGCCACAAGAGAGCCGTCAGCAGCATCAACACTACTTTACATTACACAGGTCAGTGCTATTAGTGTTTGTGGAGGAAGAGGGCTAAATAGACCACTTTACGTAGTGCATTTTGTTTATGATTTCAATTCGTGTGGATTTTTAAATGATTTACATTTAAATAATTGCATTTTTAATTTATATTTTAGATAAGATTTTTATCTAGCAGTTGTTATTATATTACAATTTTCAATATATATATATATATATATAT